AAGATTATTTGACAAAAAGATTATTGTTATTTATTACAAATTCTTGTTATAAAAGATAAATTTCTATTTACATAATATGTACAAACCAAGTTTTGAAATCTTTTCTTGCAATATTATTTGGTGAAGCACATTCTGAATTAATAATTTATTTTGCATGCAATATTTTGTCAAAAATTATTCCTATTTCTTCTACAAAACTGATGATACTTTATATTTCAATATTTTTATTCATTAATAAGTAAGCGTATTTTTTTTATTAGATCAATTTTGGTTTATTATATGTGTGTATGTATGTGTATGTGAATGTGTATTAGTGCTAATGAGAATAATCACAGACAGAAGAGAATTTAAAAAATATCAAACCTTACTTTTATAGTGAATTACTGCTCTCATGTTCAAGAAATTATCTTATGATAAATAAACAACACATAATATTTTTGTATTAATATTTTGTATTAAATATGTCAATATTTTATTATTAATTTAACTCATATCATAATCATTTTCATGATGAACCGTGATTATTTCATAATTATTCCACAATTAAACTTATAATATGCATACTTGTTACAATAATATCTTTTAATATAAAGATGAATTTTTCAATCAAGATTTTAACAATCATTAATTTTAGCAAATTTTTAAAGAGAATAATATATATAATTATATGATTTAACTTTTATTTTATCACAATAATAATAATTCATGTACATTCACACATAGCAAATAAATTCCCTGCTTAATTAAAAATAGAAATTTCAATCAATCAAAATTTTCAGATTGAAAAATCGCAATCCAAACTGGATCAAATTCCAATCAGATTTCAGATTGATCTGAACTGGTTGAAGTTTTAATTACGCTTTTGTCCAGAAAAAGTGAACGCATTGTTAATATTTGTGAAACAAGTGAACGAAACCAGACCGATAATTGAATACAACAATATTCGAAGATATTGGTACAGAACCTTGGAAAACTGATAAATAAAATAGTTTAATTCGTTTCTCCCGTCCATACAGATTAGCAGATAATTCCTATAATCGATCACTAACCTGTAACAGTTCATTGTAAATCTCGATAATGAAGTATACTAGGGTGTCCAGGATTATGCTATGCGAAATGGCTGATTTCGGAACGCCATAATAATCATTGCTACCAATCAAAATCTGGCCATGTGATTTATCCTATTTTGCGAAAAAAGGTCAATTATGCATCGCATCGCATCGCATATCCTATTCTAAAGTATACATGCAGTGATCAAACAAACATACCTATGAGTATTCACCTGTCCCCCGCATACCTTATACTTGTATACCTTACTCAGCAATTAATACCTGTCAAAGTTCTAAATAATGTATGCGCGGGATGACAAGAAACCGACAATTACAATAATAACTAGTAAATCTAATATTTGACATCTAACCTTTTTTGTATTGTTTGGCGTAACTTTTATCATCAGCTAATTTACTTATTAATTTTCTCTTGCTCTCTCGTCTTGCACAATCATTGCTGTCCTGCTCTCTCAAGCGTTTCATGATGATAAATGGTTAGTTGATAATAAAAATTCATATAAAAACCCATCGTTTTACTATCTTCTCCGTTTACTTTCTATATAATTTCTTAGAAAATCATGAATAATCCACAACAACCACCACTGCCGCCGCCAGGACATTTAAACATTGCGCAAAGCATTGTCAACGGAACGACCAATATCTTCAATAACCAGTCATCTACATCGAATGTAAATGACAACAATGTTACAAAAGTACTTATGGACGCCTATCGTTGATATTTCGCAATTGTTTACATGGTTTATATTTTGCTCGTTCATATACTTCGTACACTTTACAAAATCCTTTCGATTTATTATTATAAATTGGTTCTGATATTTCGTACATTTCACAATTTATTGATTTAATCGATTTCTTATAAATTGCTTGAATTCACAAATAATTTCGTTTATTCTACTAGAAATTCCCGTTTTATTTGTTAAATCCCTTACTTTCCTCTTCCCAGAATAAAAAGAACATTATTCATCTTCGGTAGTTTTTCCCTTCCTTTATGTTGATATTTCCTTATCCTTATTTCATATTCTCTTTCATTTCCTTCAATTGAAAATTGCAATGCTTTCAAATACTGTTTAAATTTGATTTCAAAATTAAAACGATCGAGTCGAACAATTAGATTTGCGGCATCAATTTTTCGTAATAATCTTCATGTATAGACTTTAATTTAACCTCAAAACTATTATGTTAGTAACCTGGAATTACACTGTGAACTGTTGGCGGGTATAATGGTGTTTGGGCGAAATTATGTCAATGTTTTCTCATATCACAGTAAAGATTGTTGAGAATGGCGATTATCGTTATGGCTTATAGAATAGGAAATATTATTTTATTACAATAATGCTTGCTTTATTCATTACGATTTTTATTTAATTGTATTACTACTGCATATTATCTCTTTATTAAAATCGATTAATGATGCTTTTTACAAAATGCCAAACGAAGATAATATTTCTTGTTTTATTTTTACCCTATCCTAATTATAATTCATGTCTTCTTTTTATACAAAATTCCCCTTACGTATATTTATTATTTTTTTGGAGCGGCCATGTTCCGCCATGTCACCGCCCGTTATACGATCTTTCTTCTATAATGGGTGTGGATGAGGACCAAATACCCTAGCCACGGCAAAAAAAAGTGTCGGGTCATGTGATCTGAAATAGGTCTATTAAAATATTAGATGTTAAGTATTAGGGTTAGGTTTAGAGCTGAGATATGATTATATATAAATTGTCTTCCCGACATTTTTTGATAGTACACCAAGCTATATTTAATATCTGTTTTTTTGTATTTTTCGCATTTTTTGTCTTTTCTTATTTTCTTGTGCGGGGTTGATCACATTCCTATTGGTTGCGCAGAATTTTTGCGCATTCTTATTGGTTGGATCTGACTAACATTACGTGAACGGTTCGCGAGAAAACTCATAAATCAAAACCAATTGTTATTGCTATGGTACCAGTTGCTTAATAAAGTAAATACATGACATGACGGTCATCATTATTCAATAAATAGCAAGACCACAAGATTCTAATCCAAATAGTCAAGTCAAATTTTTAATTATTAAATTTTTACATAGCTTTTTCTTAATTTGGATCACTAATTACATGTACATAGTGTTCTACGTACTTTATGAAATCTATTGAGAAAAATATTATTTATGCTTGTACAACTAAACATGATATTCATCCAAACAATATGTATTATAGCAGGATAATTACGTAATGTGTTTCACATATCGAATAAAAATTCAATTAGGAATTTATAAACTAACTAAATCAAAATAATCAAGAGTATTTTTCTTTTACTTTCAAAAAAATAGGCAGTTTCTTATACCGAATAAAAATCAATAATCTTTTGTTCATACATTTCATCCTTGACGCCAAAACTCGCAGAAATCTTGTGTTTCGGGAATCGACATCGACTGATTGATCTTTTTCTTCACATTCGTGCAGGGACAATTATTTTCTGTAAGAATTACTTTGTTCCTTCTATATACTCCTGTAGTGGACGCGCGTCCTATATTGTTCACGGTAAATCAATTTTCCACCGCAGTACGCACATACATCGCAAATGGGGTCGTGTGACCAGCAAACATAATACATGTACATGTAGTTAGGTGCTCTCTATATCATGTGTATATATGCCTTCCTTGTATATTTTAATCATTTTATAGAGTTATAATTAATTTTTTTCTGTGTCATAAAAAGTAGATATAAATAAAATTTTTTAATTCTTTACTCGGTCTCATTATCAATCTTTCCGGTATATTTCTTTCTTTGACATATGGCACGAAATGCATATTCAGTGGTAACTTATATTTACTTTTCTCAGACCAATCATTAACAGGATGACCTAGCCGTTCATCGGGGTTCTGTTTTGCTAGATAGAATTTTATCGCGTCGTTAACTGTTCACATCTTGTTGAGTTCAAAATTGGGAACCTCCCTATCTATTAGTGCTGTATAGTCGTTTATGGTTACAAAAATGATAAATTATATCATCCGTAAGAATTAATTAAAACAACGCAATATCATATACGCCACTAAAAGATATGCATACATTAAATTTCAATAATGGCCAATTGTGGGGGTTTGTACTGGCATAGATGGAAGCTTTTATTCAATGTATGATTATTTAGGTATTAATAAAATAATCTCACGATTCCGATTGATGTGGCATCAATTATTTTAATAATAAATAAATTACAAACCTAACCTCATTGAGACAGAAACAAGTCGTCACTTCCGTAGTCATTGTCGTCGTCGTCTTCTAAGGCTTTTTTTTGGTGTGGTAAAGGTGATGGTGGTGGATGTAGCAACGCTTTCTGTGTTGTTTTATATTTGAATTATTATTTAACTTTTGTTTTGAGTCTGGGTCATTCTGCGAAAAATTTTTTAAAAGAATTTCGATAAACTGCCTTGGGAAATTACTGTTTGGGAAAGCGAGGCAACGAAAATGTGGTATTGTGTTGGGACGACGAGTCGATTACGTTGTAAAAAACGTGGGGTTATAATCTTCATTTATTGATCTGGTATTAATTGAAAACAAAACTACTAAGTTTAAAAAGATTTAGTATATTTTTATACATGCGTGTGTCGTGTTAAGTGTAGTATGCACAATTTCAATTTATAGACAAAGTAATAACGATAAGCAGATAGGAGTTATAACTGTTTCATCACTTACATATGGTAATTTTATTTTAAATTTAAACCTTTGCGGGGTAATGAATGACGTTATTTTTTATTAATCATATGAGCATTTGTTTTAATGCAATAATGAGCCCTGATATATCGATATTCGGAGTCAATTGAACGAAAAAAATGTGAAATATATACCCAACATCAAAAAGATTGATTGTCGATGCATACGTAGTTGTTTAATTCGGGATTCAGTGTGACTAGATTTCAAGTCACCATTACGTAATACACACTTACCTAAATTAAGAAGCTGCTTTCGAAGGTGACTTTTTAGGACCGCGGTCCTGCATAACACGTGATTTAAATTAGGACCGATCCCATTATGTTTGTTTCTAATAATAAACCATTATATTTGTTCTAGACCAGACCAGACCATCCCATTGTGTTATTTCTAATAGAACAAAACAATCGTAAAGATCGAATACATGTACTTGAATCTTGATAAAAGATCTCGAGTTTGATTGAAAAGTTTGGGACTGATGCAGTTGAACGATCTAATACAGACCTCTTGGACCGAACAGACCAGATTGAACCTTTAACATATATTATTTTAGAGAAAATTTTTAAAATTGGTAACAACTATGAAATATTATCCAAAAGGAAATCTACATTTCGTATTGCATGCGATATAAGGAAAAATTTAGATTTTTTCATACTATTGATTCTCAATATTGATACATTCGTTATACATTTGGTGTCTATTATCAAAAATTCAAAATTTGTGGATATATAATTCCAAGTTTTCAGTGCGATGGATCGGGTCAGAAATACTAATACAATAGTGATGTATACGTACATGTACGTATACAGAAGAATGTAAATTCATCCTATACTGTAAAATGCAGTTGCACGGGAAGTTACACATGTATTGGAATCGGGCAATGATCGACGCAATTAAGGGGTAATTTCAAACGTCTATTATGTAACAAAAGGAAAGGTTCAATTTCAACGCAGTTCATTTGAAAGCTGAAATCTCAAGCTTTCAAACAAACTAAAAAACTGATGTCAAACCCAACCAATACTCGTCAAAATTGACAACTTACAGATGTTGAGCGTGGCGAGATAATCGGTGCCTGGAAGTGTGGTTTTTCCGAAAAAGCAATCGGAGATACTCTAGGACGACCCAAATCTATAATGTTATTAATAAATACAAAGAGTTTGACCAAACTACAGTTGCCACCCGGAGCGGTAGACCACGAAAATTAGATTAATTAATATTGTTAAACAAGATCGATAACAAGCAATTGACGAAATTACCGAAAAATTCAATACTGCTATGACTGTTTCTGTTAGTTCCAGAACTGTTCGACGTACTCTTCACGAATCTGGGTTTTATGGTCGGGCTGGGTTGAGAAAACCTTTTGTATCTGAAGAAAATCGTCAAAAGCGAGTAAAGTGGTGTTTAGAAAGAAAAGATTGGATCAGTGAATGGGAATTAGTAACTTGGAGTGATGAATCAAGATACCTAATATTCCGAAATGATTTCCTTTGACACCGACCACATGAAAATATGATGTCGATTGCCTTTTTCCTAGTATGAAATCGGGTAATCAGTGAGTAATGGTATGGGGATGTTTTACTCAAAATGTACTTGGACCATTAATGGCACAATAACTGGTCCGAGTATATAGAGATAATGGAACAAAATCTTCTGCCATTTCTAAATGATTTGCCAGCTACTTCTGTTCATCTTTTTCAAGATGATAATGCCTCAGTTCACAGATATCGTCCAGCTAGTGAGTGGAAAGAGTAAAATTTAATAACTTCACTTCTATGACCTGCCCAGAGCTCTGATCTAAATCCAATTGAGCATTTGTGGGATGTTTTTGGAAAGACGAATTCGTGCACGTCCAGAAATCTAGAAGAATTGATGGATGCACTTACGGAGGAATGGGAAACAATTGAACCAGAGGTTTTAAGAAATTTGGTTGAAAGTATGCCGAGAATAGTACAAGCTGTAATTGAGGCAAATGGGTATCCAACCCAGTATTAAAATATATGTATAAAATCTCTACTTTTTCTGAATAAAATAATTTTTTTATTTATAAAGAGGTCGAGTAATAATAAATTAAAGTAAATATAATTTTTATTAATGCATTTTATATATTTTATATACAAGTATGTGATTTCTCAATTTCATTACAACATTTCCTTGGTGTCGATCTATAAAACTAACTATTCTTTTTTCCTTTAAGGTTAAGCTGTGATGCAATGAAAAGATCGTTTGATAAATTGTATAATTCTATTGCTTAATGCTGACAAGAATTTTGTCAATATTGCTCTCAAATAAACTTTGTCTTAGTATTTCCGAGAACTACGAAATATATGATGACTTTTAGATATCGCCGCCAAGTTATTTTTTCCCTTAATATCGCCTTTATTCCGAAAAATAGTAGTCAGTTGCGTAATGCTTTCTTGTACGATTATCAAGTCATCTGAACAATGTTAAATAATGAGAAAATAAATCCGTGATTTCATTTTTAGATCAGATGGTATTCTACCTGATATATTTCTACGTATACGGAATATTTATATGCATAAAATTTACTCACTAATTATCAAATTCATTAGAAATTTTGTTAGATTCAAAAACCAACCTATATCTAAAATCTCATGCTGAGCATTTTCACTCAATTTTTCGTTTGTTTTGTGTGTTACACATGATTTCACAATTGAATTGGTCAAATTTGTATGTTACATCTGATCTTTGCAATTGGATTGGTCTATTTACACGGATTAATTCCCCGTTTTTTGAATATCGCAAATCCAAAGATAATATAACGATAATTGTTCAACTCGATCGTTTTGAACTGTATATGGATGCGACATTTCAATTGAAGGAAACGGAGTACGTACTTTACATTAATAACTTAAAGAAATTAGTTGAATTTGTAATAAGAAGAAAAGAAAATCAACATGCAGAAATGATAAATAATAAAAAGCATAGAAACAGTAAAGAAACATCTATACGCAGCGAAAAGGAAATTAATGAGTTCAACGAATAAAACGGGAACTTTTCAATAAAATAAATATATGAACGAGCATAGATTACAGAATCTAATAACTAGAGTATAAAAAACATAAATAATATTTTAGGGAAAAGAGTTGAAATTTATATCAACAATAAGAATCCATAAGTACTCTCGAAATATTATTGTCATTTGTGTTCGATATAGGTGACTGGAAAATATTTGTGGCGCCATCAATGATGTCTTGCGCAATGTTTGTCGTGTTTAAATGTCCTGGCGGTGGTGGTGGTATTGGATTTCGTGGATCCATGATTTTTTCTGAGAAAAACGATTATAAATTATTAATAGACACTAAACGGTGAAGAAACTATAGCAGATGACTGGAGTTTATATACATTTTTCTCGTTATTTTCATCGTACAATGCGCGAGACAAGAAGCAGACGAATTGATCTGTCGGGTAAACCCAAAAAGAATCAATTTGCCAGTTATTATTGTTACTGCGCCCGCTGTCCAAATGCACGTATCATTCGGGCATTTACTAAAATATCACTTATCTAATCTATAATCAATTAGTTAGTTAAAGTATGAGTTGCAGTTTTGTTATGTAAAATCAAATAAATAATCATAGTATACGGGATGATTGCATGTGTGAATGATTTAATATAATGGGAATTGTTTAACAGCAAAAATCCATTAATTATATTTGCCCTAATGAGGCGAATTAGTGCCATTGAAATATTGTACATGATTTTTAATCATTATAACACTAAAAAAGAAGGGTCCAGTAAAAAATCGGCTATAATTGCGTATAATATACTGTGTTATATATATATAAAACACAGGCAGGCAAGCATCACACTAAATTAGAGTTCAAGGAAAATAAAAAATCATAATTGCATATATAATCTAATTAATACTCTATAAGGAGTAGTTTGGTTGTTTATAATACACATTCATCTTCTTTTAATATGCAGAAGAAACGAATATACAATATTGGTATTCTTCTTGGAAATGAGTTTGAGTTTGCTGGTTATTTAATCTTTCTAGTTTATAATCGTTATACTTAGTTGTTCAGTCTTGTTTTAACTTGGAAATTGTAATCTACAGCGCAGTCTTAGAATGGATTTTACATGGGCAGAGTGCAATAGAAATGGTGTGAATTCTAATACAATTTACACCGTTTCTATTGCACTCGGCCCATATATGTAAAATCGATAATATACGATAAATTTTCACTTTAAGGTTAACTATTGAATTCGTTCTACCTAGTACACGTATGATCTAACGCTAAATTTAGCTTCAAAAATGATGATTAATTACGTATTAGTAATCATTATAGCGAGCTAACTGTATTAAGAGTTACCGAATTATTACATAACGATAAAAGACCGTATTACATAACGAGAATAGAAATGGAAAAATTAACTTATTATTTGCTCTAAATTCTCGCTTTATTGGCCTCATTCTCAATCTTTTATTACTTTATGCAAACAAGACGGTCATTCATCGGACAGATTCCTGTTCTATTACTATGTTTATTAAAAACTTCTCTATAAGACAATGGATGTTCTATGGTACAATCAAATCAACAATAGTGAAACCAGGAAAAAGAAATCCGACAAAATTTTGTTCATTTTTCCTGATTGTTCTCTAGCACTAGTTGTTTATTTAATGCAGGTAAAGTGACAATCAATAACGATAATGACAATTTAGTCCCGAATTATTCTTGGATAATAATTAAAAACTTAACAAAAATCGAATTAATAAATCGTACGGCGTTACACAATTCCGATTTAATAAAAAATAACATCTTTCTTCCAATGATTGAAATTAATCTCTAAAATATACAGTATATAACAGATTAAAGATTTAAAAACAATTATGCATTAATAGATAACAAAAATAATAGGTGCAAGACAACTAGAAATCATCCTAAGCCGCCCATTTTGAACCGATTTTTTTTTTTGGGGGGGGGGGTGCTTAAGTTCAAGTACAGAGGGATCAACTAAAATTAGGACAGTCGTTAAAAATTTAAAATATGATACTATGAAGAGTCGATTTTTTAACTAATACAATGATCTTGCATGTAATAATCAAAATTTTACAAGCTTTGAAATATCATTCTCCAAAACTTTCATTCGTGAACTTTGAATGAGAGATTAGCCACAATACCAAATTTTAACTCAATAAATTCTAATAATAAAAATGTTCACCAGATTCCATTCTACATATTTGAAAATTTTCATTAAGTTTTGAACATTAATCCATGAGCTATTGTGTAAAATGTAAAATTCTTATTAAGATGAATTTACATATACACTACAAAGATAAGTTAAATTTACTATTATGAAAACCATCTTCATTTCCATTGACTAAAAATGCGCACCAACTTCTAATGTAGTAATTAATTATTAATTTTAGCCAATGAAAATTAAGATGGAGTTTCATAGTTGTAAATTAACTTCATCACTAGTTCAAATAATTTTGCGTTTTTGCACAATAGTTCATGGATTAATGCTCAAAACTTACGAAAATTTGCAAATATGTAGAATCGAACCTGATGAACATTTCTAATTACGTATTAGCATTTATTGAGTTAAAATTTGGTATTGTGGCTAATCTCTCATTCAAAGTTCACGAATGAAAGTTTTGGAGATGATATTTCAAAGCTTGTAAAATCATTTGAATTATATCGTAGAATTTAATGTTTGATTATTACATGCAAGTTCATTGTATTAGTAAAAAAATCGACTCTTCATAGTATCATATTTTAAATTTTTGACCCTCTGTACATGTAATTGTTCGACTCGATCATTTGTATTTTTTTGAAGAGGATAAACTACAAAAGATACATAATCAAAAGCTTTCAAACGATAAATATTCTTTTTGAAATAAAAATAACATTCATGTATAAAAAGCATCTATACGCGACGAGTTATTCTAGAAAAGGAAACTAAAGAATTCAACGAATAAAATGGGAACTTTCAGTAAATTAAAATATTTAGATAAAAATGAACAATGTATGTATGCGCAAAATAATTTGTGGATTATCATTGTAAATATATGAGCGAATTATAGGTAACAAACCAAGTTCGAGTAATTTCTAATAAGAAATCGATCGAGTCATTCAATGGTTCTAATAAGACGAAAGAGATTTTGTAAAGTGTGCGAAATATATGAACGAGTACAATTTATAATAAGAAATCGATTGAATCATAAAATTAATGATTCTATATAATAATTCGAAAAGATTTTGTAAAGTTTACGAAATATATAAGCGAGTATGGATATAAAACGTCAGACGTGTATGGATAAGTACCCTAGCCATGGCGAAAAAAAGTTACGGGTCATGTGATATTTTGTATGTCCGGAAAAATTCTACGGAGGTTATTGTTAAAGATTAATTTAAAGGTTAGGGTTAGGCCTGGGATCAAGGTTATATATAAATTGTCTTCCCGACATTTTTTATTAGTGTATCAAGCTAGATTTAGGCATCTATTTCCCGTATATTTTTCATTTTCTTGTGTCGGATTTGTTTTGCCGGGCTGAACAAAAATTTACGCATTTTATTGGTTTGTGTCACTGGCAGATCAAAAATATGCATTTTTATTGGTGCCACGTGACCCGTGACTTTTTTCGCCATGGCTAGGGTACTTTGTATGGGTTATAATTAATACCAAGAAATCATTGAATCATTCAATGATACTAATAAATCGAAAGGGATTTTGTAAGGGTACAAAATATATGAAAATTACACAGAATCAAATAGCAGAATATGAAGCACTGTGAAAAAGGGAAAAAAGTGTTCAGGTTTATATCAGCGATAGGCATCCTACGCTTGAAATATTATTGTTGTGGTAGTGGTTGTTGGTTTTGCGTTTGATTTTGTTTAATATTTTTTTTCCAGAATTTATGTTAATAGAAAGTAAACGGGGAAGGAGTTTATTATCCAAACGCGCGAGAGAGAAGAAGTAAAATCATATGAGGCAAACCCGATTCTTATTGTTATTGTGTCAGTTACTTAATAAAGTAAATACATAACGCCACGGGCATTCATAGATTCTAATCCAGTGATAGTCAAATTCAATAAGGTTTCAATTAGTACTTCAGCTTATTGAGGTTTGGTTGTGTGAAAGAAATTTATTCGCAATAAGAGGTCATCATAAACTTTTTGACAGGATCTTTATACTATTATTATTCTATTTTCTTGACTCATTGTTGAAATTGTGTATGGATTTGATTATATCATTCTAAACTTTTTGACAAGATCTTTGTGCAGGTACTACATGTAATATCATTCGGGGAATAATAATTAACATTTTCTTGAATTTGTGTATAGATCCCTGCATAAGCTCAAAACAATTGATGCATGATGATCATTTTTTGTCCATTGTTACCGGAGAGATACATGTGCGTATTTCGATTTTTGTGTGTGAAAAAACACATGTGTAATGTGACCAAACTTAATGAATGTAACCGAAATTTTCCATTCTAATTCATGTCACTAAATAATTATCGTTATGTGTGCATTGAGAATTATTTATATAGAAACACATAGCACACACAGGTCAAAACCTGAATTTTTTTATATTGTTCTAATCAATTAATTCGATTAATTCGCTAATTACTTAATTCGGCTTATCATTGTTTTTTATATACATGTATACAGTCAAATCACACCCATCTATTAGAATAGAAGAAATTAGAAATACTTAATGAAGAAATGATTTCACACAAAAGCATTCCTACAAATATAAACAATTACACTCAAATATAGCGATAGGTACTTTTTATTTCGAAATACAAATCATATTATTATTTCATGTTAATTAAAATTGATAGACTCTACAAGTGTCAGTTTGTATGTTCTAAACAAAGGTAAAATTATATTAATATTTATTTTTTTATTGGATTGCAAAACGAGGATGAAGATATATCAAGAACAATCATAACTTTATAATGAGACACTTACAACATCATGCTCTTTATTAAATGAAACTGGCAAGTATTGAATTATACTTTATTGAATTAAAAATAGAAAGAGTAGGGATATTTATCAGGTGATTTCTTGTTGATAGTAAGACTCCCCCATCTGATTCAATGTTAATATAAAATCTAACATATTGATTTTGTACCACCTGATTTTTCTTTGGACCCCCCATCCAAATAAAAATTATATTTTTTAGTCCAAGTATTACAATTACATTTTATCATAATTTATTTATTTTATGCATCTAGAATTTCACTCTTTATGTGTGTTTAAAAATATGTATGTATTATTTAATTACATACTTTATCGTTTACTTGCTATCATCCCATGGGCATAATAAATGGTAATAATGATAACGATAATATAAATAAAGAACTGTATATCTCTGTGAAGCGAATTACGTACTAACGCTATTCTTATCGCTATACATATTTTCATAGAAGTTCAATTTATGTTAACGTGCATAAGAATTAATGACATAGATGTATTACGCCTACAATGGAAGATATAAAAGGCTACTTTTTATGCGTTCTATCTCATTTTCATGCATAGAAATCCATGTTACTCTTCTTTTACATGTTTAATGACGTGTCATTTTCTTCATGCATAAATCGATTTACAAACACAAACGCAGGTGAACGACGACTTTCACACATATAAACGTAAATCATTGTTTTTAAAAACAACACTGCACTGCCATCCATAATCACCAATAAAATAAACTCAAAAGATGGCATCTAAAATTTCGAATACTCATGATTGTAGTAAATGTGTTGATTGTCGTTTATATACAAAGCTCTGCAATGAATGTTCAGTTCACAATAAACATGATTGTAGTAAATGTTTATATTGTCAACAAAATATGGACTGCGAAGAGTGTTTTTATTATCACAAACGAATTTACAAAACTGAATGGTCTAGCGAAAATAAAGATATCGATAGTCTAATAAAAGAATGCAACGAACTTGTCGATGAAGATGATGTTTTTGAATGGATCCCTTCTGAAAGATTTACCAATGTTGAATATCTTGCAAAAGGAGGTTTTGGATCAATTTATAAAGCAACCTGGTTGGACGGGCCATTGAAAACCGGGTATTGGGATCATGAAAAAAATAGATTTAAACGATTGAGCAAAAACAAAGAAGTTGTGTTGAAATCATTACATAATTCGAAGCAAATTACATCCGAGTTTATAAACGAGGTAAAATGAACACCTTTTAAAGTGTAAGCATATTTGCTTTTTTGTTTTCATTATAATTAACTTTTTTAAAATTAGATTCAGACCACTTTAAAGTGCACCGATGTAATTCAATATTATGGAATAACTAAAAACCCAGCTACAAATGAATACTCGATAGTGATGGATTATGTAGTAGATGGCGATCTACGCAAATATATAAATTCCCACTGCTTGAATTGGGAAGAGAAATTAAGATATTTATCCCATGTTACTCGAGGGTTGAATATGATTCACGAAAGGGAATTTGTGCATCGTGACTTTCACCCTGGAAATATATTAATAGAGATTATTGCTACTATTGCTGATTTTGGACTTAGCAAACCGGCAGATATAGAAAAATCTGATCAAAAAGTTTGCGGAGTACTTCCTTATTTGAGTCCAGAGGTACTAAATGGAAAGCCATACACTAAAGCTGCTGATATTTATAGCTTTGGAATGATTACGTACGAGGTTGCCACATGTGAACGACCATTTGGTGAACGGAGTCATGGTAGTGATCTTGTATTAGACATCTATAACGGAGTACGACCTACGATACCAAATAATATTCCTCAATTATACAAGTTTATTATTGAAAAATGTTGGGATCCTATTCCAGAAAACAGACCAACTGCTGAGGAGCTTTACGATTTTATCTACTCGATCTTTCATTATGATTTAAAACAGTGGAAATCGAACACTTTGCATTTCCAGTACTTCCGTTCTTTAGAATATCCTAAAACGCATAAAGAAATTAAGGAGTGTCTTAAAATAGAAGAGCAGAAATTGAGAGAACTTGATGAGGAGATGAAATTGCAAAAAATTACCCCTACAAATATAAACGAACAACAAATCCACTCAAACGCCGTTTACACCAGTCGAATCTTTACCAAAAAATTAATCACAATTCCAACTGAGAGAGGTATTTTGTTATTTCTAAATATAAATTGCATTGACATGTCATGTTAATGAAAAATATTTAGGTTCTACAAGTGTCAGTTTGTATGTTCCAAACGAAGGTAAATATTTGTTTTTTCAAAAAAAAATATAGTATCAGCAATCAATACATATATTAAAAGACTTGTTTGCACACAACTCTATCACTATGACTACTGAATATTATATATTGATGTAGATATCGATGCCGAATCAACAAGTGTCAGTTTGTATGTCTCAAACGAAGCAAATGAAGGTAAAATCACTCTTTGATATTCCTTTTTTTGTTAATCTTTGATTCATTCCTGTTTTTTCTTTGATGGTTCAAAACGTATTTAGATAAAATTAATAACGATAAGAATGAAGAGATATCAATTCATGATTGCAGTAAATGTACTCGTTGTCAAAAAAACGATCGCTTCGGTGAATGTTTCGGTTTTCACTATCAACTTTATGAAACTAAATGGTCTAGTGAAAGTAAGGATATCGACTGTCTAATAAAAGAATGCATGAAAATCAGACGACATTTCAAATGGATCCCTTTTGAAAAATTTTCCAATGTTGAATATCTTGGAACAATTTATAAAGCATCATTGCACTACTATTACAAGTTGAATCGCGAAGATAATGAATTTAAAAGAGATGATGAATACCGAGTTGTTGTGTTGAAATCATTCCGTGATTCACAGCGAATTATAAACGAGGTAAAAATGAGCAATTTCTAAAGTGTAAGCAAGTCGCTTTGTTGTTTTCTAAAAAATTAAGTTTTCAAAAAATAGATTCGGACTGCTCTAAAGTTCAGTGATGCTTACTTTGGAATAAATTATTATGGAATCACTAAAAACCCAGCTACGAATGAATACTCGATAGTAATGAAGCACACAGAAGATGGAGAATATATTAATTCAAACTACGAAGAATTGACTTGGGATCAAAAATCAGAATATCTACACTATATTACTCGTGGTCTGAAAAAAATTCACGAAGAGAAACTTGTGCGTGGTGACTTTCACCCTGCAAATATATTATTGAAGGTTGATGCTTTCCTTGCCGATTTTGGGCTTACCTGCCCAACAAATATAAAAAAATCAAACCAAGAAATCTACAGAGTACTTCCTTATGCGAGTCCGGAGACGTTAAACGGAAAATCATACACTAAATCTGCAGATATTTATAGTTTGGGGATGATTACATACGAGGTTGCCACAGGTGAACGACCATTCGGTGAACGACGTCATGACACACACCTTGTATGTGACATCTATAATGGAGTACGACCTACGATACCAAATAATGTCCCTGGATGGTGCAAATTTATTATTGAAAAGTGTTGGGATCCTATTCCAGAAAACAGACCAACTGCTGAAGAACTTTGCGACTTTATCTGGTCTATCAACAAAACTGACGAGTTCATTCAATTGGGGAGGAAACTGAATACTTTGCATTTTCAGTACTTTAGTTCTTTTGAATATCCTAAAACGCATGAAGAGATTAAGGGGTGTCTTAAACTAGAAAAACAGAGATGGAAAGAACTTGATGAGGAGATGAAAAGCGGTCCTACAAATACGAACAAAAAACAAGCAATACATCCAAATGCAGTTTACACCACTCGAGCCTTTACTATAAAATTAATTTTTAACACAGGTATTTGTTTCTTTTTATTTTTAAATATAAATCATATTAACATTCATTAAAATTCATATCGAATATTTAGGGTTGACAAGTGTCGGTTTGTTTGTCCCAAACGAAGGTAAAATTGCTCGCTTTACCGTTTTATTAACTTCATTAATTCATTCCTATTTTTTCTTTTGGATTGCAAAACAGATCTAAATGAAATTAATGAGAATGGAAATATTTCGAGTTTCGTTCAAGAACAACTACAACTTCATGGCGAAACACTTCCAATATCACGCTCGTTATTAAATGAAACTGGTAAGCATTAATTTATATACATTGTAAATGACTGAATGCACGTTCGCAACGATGACCTCACTCTATCCGCAAAAAATACATAATCACAGCCATTTTCTAGGCGGTTGTCTTGGTTATTTGTCTGTCGTTAACATATTTGATCTATTTATAAATAAATAAATTAAATTCAACACAGTAATAAAGTCTCATTTGTGATAAATGACGTCCCCCAATACAGATACATGTACTATCAACTATTCTTTTAAGCCCAAGCAGTTCACAACAATATCTAAGATGCCGATAGACGACGATAACTCTAATGGCTCGCATTCAGACGAGCCCAAACTTTACCTAAGCAAGTTGCCTTCCAATATGTCTGAGGACGAGGTGTCAGACATTTTCAGTGATGGGAATGTAACGCCAACTAGGTAAATCTTTCATATTGAAGCTAGTTGATGGCTTTTCAAAAATCAGTTGAAAATATATTATTTATTCATATTATTCATAATATTAAATTTAGAGTCGATATCAAAAATCGTGTACTTTATTTTGCAAATCGCGACATTGGTAATTATAATTAAATTTTCTTTTCTTTTATGTGTTCATCCTCGTTTTATTCTATTTAAAATTATATTATTTTCTATTAATAATCGTAATCATAGCCGAAAGAGCTTTCGCACTATATAATACTCGCACAGAAAAAATTAGCTTATATTTGAATGATCCCAATAACGGATCTGATCCAGCACCGAATGCTTTCGTTTTGGAAGTCAAGCAATTTTCAGCGAGAACAGATCTGTATGCATATTTCCGTAAATTCGGTCCTATATATTCATTGAAAATTCATTCGGATCCGGCAAATGGTTGTCCCAAAGGAAGTGCTTATATCCAATATTTCAATAAAGCTGATGCTGAACAAGCATTGGCTAAAATGGTATATATATAAAATGTTAATCCATGTTTTCTTTTACATATCGAATCGATATGAATCGAAATTGAGTTTTTTTTCGTATTATTATAGCACTGCCAAGAAATAGATGGAAAGTCCATGTAAGTTAGGGTTTACCATAAATTTTATTTTCTCTTAATACAATAAACGAGATACACTAATATATGTTTTTTGATATGTAATTAATAATAATCATAACAACAACAACAACGATAATGCTATTCTTAGTGTATGCAATCTCCAACAATTTCAATCGAACACTCAAACCAAAACCAATAACCGCAGTAATTCTCAATCTTCAAACGGAGTAAGTTTAATAATAATAACGATAATAATAATAATAATAACTATTATTGTTATTGTTATTATTAAACATGAAGAATTTTTTTATCCTTTCACTGACTCGTTTTTTAGCCTCAACTTTCGCCTGTGAGTGAATCAGTTCAGTCACGTGTAATTAATTATTAAGTAATCATATGACCGCTACTAAATACACGAATATTTTGAATTGTGTGTAAAAAATATTCTAAGAAACTTTATAAAAATTATTTATATTAAAATATACAGTCAACCTTCTCTATAGTCACACATTTTAGAAAAAATCCCTCTATAAGCACACCCATATTTGTGACTATTGGTTAATTAGTAACAAAATATCTCCATATAGTCACAACTTCTTTATAAGTAGAAAGAAATTTATTCTCAAAGAGAAGAAAGAAATTTATTCGCATAAAGAGGTGAAAGAAATTTATTCTCAAAGAGAAGAAAGAAATTTATTCTCAAAGAAGTGAAAGAAATTTATTCTCATAAAGAGAAGAAAGAAATTTATTCGCATAATAATATTTTGATAAGCTCAATATAATTCAATATACTTGTAACAAATATATAATTAGGAGAGGAGGATGATAAAAATACGAGTTAAAAGATTTTTTTATGTTATTTATTCTCAAGTTTCAATATGTAAGAAAAACTTAGTTATTATTTATATTTATATATTTTTCACAAATATAAATATAATAATTAAAACAAGAAAAAAATATAAAAAGAAAAAATAAATAGTTGCTATTACAGATCTTTTTTTATAGTATTATTATAAACTTTTATATTATTACTTTATAAAATAAGTGCTAAGTTTTTAATAACAATTTATTATATAAATTTTGATATAGAAATCAATAATCTTTTTTGTATTAGTACAAAAGTTAAATATGACTAATATATAAATATTAAAGTAAATAAATAAATAAAAATAAAAAATAAATAAATAATTATATATATCACAAAGTAAAACAATAATATAAGAAATAATTAAGAAAATCTTTTTGTTAATAAATAGATTATTCATAATTTTTTATAATTTGTTGCAAATTATAAAATTAATATATTATATATTATAAGTATAATAACATTATTATAATTAAAAAACACTTTGTTTAGTAAAAAATGAATTTAATATAATAATTATAATATATATAATTTCATATTCAAATTGATTTGTACTTAAATTTGCAACAAAAATAATATTTTTTTGATTATCCAAAATATATACTTTACAAAGAATATTAAAATATTGAGTTTATATACTTTTTATATAATTAGAATTATTTTTATATATAGTTATTACTTGTTCGTTATTATTATTAAATATTAATATATTTTAATATTCAGTAATACAGAATATTTAAAGATATCAATCGCATGACTAATTTTATTTTTAATTTCAAAAATCAAATAGAATTTAAATGAATCAAAAAATCATAAGTTATATAATATTTATTAAGTGATTTATTATAATAATCAATAAAATTACAAAATGTGATTTATTATTAATCAATCAAATTTGCTGATTATATTGATTATTAAAGGTATTATGTATGAGTTTCAAAGTAGATGTATAACGAATATAAATTAATTAGTTTTGTAAACTATTTATATTATTCATTACGTAAAACAAATAAATTTGTGAATTGTACAAATATATGAACGAGTATATATTATAAAACATCACAGAACCAATTTATAATAGCAGATTATAAAACGTCACAGAACCAATTTTAAGCGATTTATGATAAAAAATCGGTATCATTAGATAAACTAAATCGAAATATCTAGATTATAAAACGTCACAGAATTAAACAACAGAATATGAATAGAAAAGATATAAATTACATGAAGCAATTTCGAAAAGAGAAAGTTTAGGAAGAGACATAACAATAGGCGTCCATAAGTAATTTTGCTATACTATTGTCATTTACATTCGACGTAGAGGTCTGGCTATTGAAAATGTTGGTTGTGCCATTTATAATGCTTTGTGCCGTGTTAGAAGGACCTGCTTGTGGCAACGGCAATAGTTGATTTTGTTGTGATAGTGATTGTTGTTGGTTTTGTGTTATTAATAGAAGCTAAACAGAGAAGAACGAGTGATACTATATACATTTTTTATTTTCAGCTAACCATTTATATATTCATTATCTAAAGCAAATAAATAATCTACATAACACTCTGGGCATTCACTATTCTCTAGACTACAAAATGTGCGTATTATTCCAATAAATTCGGGATTAAATTATTTTACTAAATAACAACTAGCTTGAGAACAATTAACACCTAGTGCTAGAACAATGAACAAAATTACGTACATGTACTTGTTTATCGCCAGTTACCCAAATTTTATAGAGAAATTTTTAATTAATACATGTAGGAACTGCATTTGTACCATACCGATACCTGAAAGATCAAATACACACATTCACCCATATATAGCAATGGATCAATTTTAGCCAATGAAAATGAAGATGGGATTCATACTGCCGTGAATAAGTACCACCCCAATTTTATTCAAACCATAAATAAGCCTATTTAAATTACAAAAATTTATTAACGTTAAATATAACTAAATATTTAAATTTGAATTACAAAAAATGTCCAGATCTAAGCACCACCCCATTTTTTGGATGTCGAGATTCGATTTGACACAAACTAACTTGTATGTATGACTTGTGCAACTGACTCATTCTGACTGTTTCCTTATTTATCGTGGAAAGTTAGATTTCATGTACATGTAATATAATGATAATGAGAACATTATAATTGATGTAATTATTGAAGCATATAATTGTATGATATTCAAATGACAACATTTATTACACTTATTGTAGTAATCCCGTACCTGATAAAAAACGCATTCACTACAACGGTGAGTATTTTAGAATTCACTTTATAAAATCCGTGTTTTATTTAAAACTTTGAAATGATAACAAATAAAATAAATGATAATAAATAAAAAATTATGTCGGCGGCGTTAACGGTAAATAGAATATTATTGTTCTTTAATTCTAATTTTTAACTTTTCAATTTCGTTCAATAGATTTTCCTTTTCCTTTTCCTTTTCAAGCTTATGTAATAAATTTTGTCGTTCACGTTCCCATTCACCTTGTTTTTGTGTAAGAATTAAATTGAGTCGAGTAATCTCTTGATGTTGATCGGAGTTATTTTTTCTTGCACTACAAAGAAAAATAGCAATTAATTAAAGAAATTAATAAAAAAAGATCAAAGTGATTTTACCTTCATTTGTTTAGTTTCGAACATATAAACTGGCACTTGGAGATTCGGCATCAATATCGATATTAAATTTAGCAGTCACGTATGCTGGAGATACACGAAAACAAGTATCTTAATATATTAAAATTGATATAAAGCGAAACATGTAACTTGCTTATTAATTACATGACATAACATCTGAAGTCGTCGCTAAAATATTTTAATAGGAATAAATTTAGAATACTACTCAAGGCTACTTCACAGTTTACCTTGACTAGGACTCTTGTCTCTATTTGATTCTTCTGACACATTTTCATTAGGACATTTCTCGTTCATCTTATGATCTTTGAGGCTAGTTTTGTTAATATTTTAAAACGTTGAGACTCCACATTGAAATTAATTTTGAAGTAAATATTCGACTAGTGTAAACTGCATTTGGGTGGATTTGTTGTTTTTTGTTTGTATTTGTAGAAAAGTTTTTTTGATATCTGATTTCATTTAGTCTCTGCCTTTCTAGTATAAGACACTCCTTAATTTTTTCAACTGTTTTAACGTTGGAACACTCTAAAGAGCTGCTGTAATAGTGAAAATGCAAACTATTCGGTTCCCACTTGCCATCATTGATATCGATATCGGTAATGGAGATCGAGTCAGTAAAGTGGCGAAGTTCCTTGGCAGATGGTCGATTTTCAGGAATATCCGGGAACATTATTTGGTATCGCTCCATTATAGATGTTAATTATAAGACATTTATCATGATTCTGGTCGTTCACCTGTTACAACTTCGTACACAATCATTCCAAAACTATAAATATCTGCAGCTTTAGTGTATTACTTTCCATCTACTTATATAAGGAAGTACTCCGCAAATCTTTTTTTGATTGATTTAATTTTATCCTAAATTGTAACCTTGATTTAATTTTATCCTAAATATATAAGGAATTTTATCCTAAATAGATCATTTTTTTGGCGATCAATTTCTAATGAAAAATGATCACATAAGTACCACCAACTTCTATAAATACTTTAATCTATATCCAAGGTTTCATCCATCAATCAAACAAGGATTAATTTATAAATAACGGACATAAATATTTTGGATAATTATTATCTTTTCGTGACTACCTTTTTAA